AAAAAATACTGTCAATAATATTTTCAAATAATTTGAGAAAATATTAATTCAATATAAACTGAAGTGGAAGCTGCTAATTTCACCAACTGATGTTGGTGAAAACGTGTGGAGATAGATAATGTTGTAAAGCTTGTGTAAATATATAGTACTTAAGGACCCTGGATATGCATCGTGTTATTCAATAACTAGAAATTTCCAGAAGATATTTAAGTCTATCATATGTTCTTGATCAGTAACTTCAATTGTCAACTTCATTCGCTGTTATAACCGTCATCAGTTCTGTGAATTTTTGTCATAAACAGAAACTGACTATTCCAATTTTCCTACCACACAACAGTTTTATGATTTTATGGTGGTAAAGTTTTATTGTGAATTTTTGAGGTCAGGATTAAGATTGAAATTTTTCTGAATGAGGAAAACCACCTTCAACCACCATTATCAAATACTGGATGCTTTGGAAATCAGCTTTTACTACAGACTTGATAATGTGTCTTAATGAATTCAACCTAAAATTACAGTGTTTATATGCAACACTTCCACTGTGGTAAAATAATTTGAATGACAGCTAACTTTGTTTTAATCACAAATAATGTCGAGCTGTTTTATACACTTCTCAAAAGTTAAAACAAGAAGTGAGATCTCCATGCACATGCAAATTTGCAACATGTATATTTTCCAAGCTCCACCTACAGTTCCAGGAATGTTTTTTCAGACCTTAATACCAGTGTAAAAGGAATTTTCGTATTTCCAACTCCATTTAATTGTGCAATTGAAGAGTCTCCACATAATCCTCAATTGGAAGTGATGGATCTATAATATAATGATATGCTAAAAGGCAAATATCAAGAGAAAAATCCAATAGAATTTCATAAATCCATTTCAAATGATAAATATGCTCAGTTAAAATCATATGCTTGTGGATTGACATCTGTATTTAGCAGTAACTGTCTGTGTGAAGAGATATTGCCAAAGACAAAATACATAAAACCTCATTACAGACCTGCATTAGAAGATGAACATTTGCAATCAATTTTTAAGACAGGAACACTAACGAACTTTGAACTTCGATTAAGTGAAGTGGTTGTCCCCTGCTCCTCAAAATTTAATTCTTCTCATTAGTAAATCTACATTACAAAAATTTTTACTAATTATTATATTTTAAATTTCATCAATAAAAAATTCATGGAATTTGTCTCTTTATTGTTATAGAAATACTTACATAATGTCCTAAATTTTTTTTATCTTGGCCTGCAAAGTCTAAAATATTTATGATCTGGCCCTTTACAAAAAATGTTTGGTGACTTTTGTTCTTCTCTCTTTGTGTAGATTTTCTTGCCTGTGTTATACCATATCAAACACTTTAGAAATATGTGATCAAACACATTTTTATTCTCAAGCAAAATGCCGTAGCATGATATTTATCTTTTATTTTATTTTATTTTATTTTTAGAGACAGAGTTTCGCTCTGTTGCTCGGGCTAGAGTGCTGTGGCGTCAGCCTAGCTCACAGCAGCCTCAAACTCCTGGGCTTAAGCAATCCTTCTGCCTCAGCCT